CTCATTAGCTAGATGAGTATAGCGAGCAGCCTTGATCTACATGATATATGTACATATACCTTAAGTTCAATGGATCTTTCAATAGCAGCACATAGCTAATACACCCGATTTGAGCCCACCCAGTGCAGAGTATTCACAAAAAATGAAAAGAGTAGCCACGACGAGCATTAAAATGTTGCCAGGGCCTGGTCCAGGCGCTGTTGTTGTTCAAGTTGAAATTTATATTAGGCCAACAAAGTCGCCTGGACGAGGATGGAGATGGGGACAGCGTAGCCGCTGGCGTTGGCGCCTGCTCTCAAGTGCTCATAAATTCACGAAAATTTCACAGCCGACGGACCCAACAAAATATAAAAAAAAAAAACAAAAAAATGAAAAAGAAGTGAACCCTTCAACAGCGCCCTGGTGAAGGGTCTAACCAGGGGGCAGCAGCTGCCGTCAGCTGTAGCAGGCCCAATTCCTGGCACATACACACATACACACACCCATACCTACACTCGACTTTGGCCGGGCAAACATAAATTGTTAAAGAATTGCCACTTTACAGTCGTAAGGACCACATAAGCCGGACAAATAAAAACCTCGTTCACATTTTGGGTTTACTTTATTATTTTTCCTACTTTTTTTTCTGGTTGGTGCAACCAGAATGGAGAGAACTTACCTTGGCTAGTCCGGCACTTGACTAGTACATTGCCTGATATCATCTTTAGTTGCGGCATGGTCAGACCAGGCCAGAACTTGACTTTTTAGAGCTGGCCCAAACAGTTGCTAAATCGTAAAAACCAAACCGGAAAAGGACGAACATAAAAACTGGGCCGCTTCGTTCGTAGTGTCGCTCGCAACCGGTTTATAATAATGCCACTGGAATGTCAGCGCGTCAAGGATTCTCATATTAAGGACATTCAATTGACAGCGACGGCTGTTGACGACAATGGCATAGGCATAAATTACCACTTAATAAAATAGTAGAGTTGGAAAGCGAACGGTAAAGTGGGCGGTGGGGGATGGGAGGGGCT